GGGTGGTTTCCTCGTGAATATACATTCTCTGCAATCCTCCATTGACTCTCTTACCATCTGCACCGACCTTGTCGTTATACTTCCATGCCAATTTCCATCCACCGCCTATGCTTGTAGCTGTCGCCGTCTCACCCACGTTTGCCATAAACAAGCTACTTTGTCGCCTGTGCATTGTCCCACCGGGTCGCTGATAGCTGTCGTCCGGCTCAGTGGTCTGCGGAGAAAGCAGAGGACTGTTCAAGTTTTCATCTTGGTCAGAGCTATCTTCATTGTTCCTCTCTGGATCCCACTGAGACTCTTGCCTTCCCATCATTCCCAGTATACTTCCCATATTGGGGAAGATCATGCTGCGTGTTGATGCGTTCATGTTCTCAGAAGGAAGTTTCTCATGAATGCTACCAAAGAGAGTGACAACTGGGTCAACGAGGGATTCGCCACGCTGTAACATGCTTCCTTGTCGGGACGCCAATGCCAGAGAACTTTGTCCTTTCACTGGCTTAGCCATCCATGACTGTCCATCCTCTGGACCGTATAGTTTGATCTGATCTTTCCTGGGCAGTCCATGTCCAACCTCGTTTTCCTCGTTGTCCGGTCCAATCACATATTCTTCTATCGACGTGTCTTTTCCCACCCCAAGCCCTTCAACGAGCAGAGCAAGCTCCCCTAGATCACACCCAGAGTTAGTCCAAGTTTCAGAGTCGACAATCTAGAATTAGTGTTCATCAAGACAAACCTGAAACATCTTCTCTGCCACGGAGCCGCTGCAAAACCTGTCTAGCTTCCTCCATCCGACCTTTGCTGACAAGCCACCTTGGAGATTCAGGCAAGAAGAAAGCCGCAAGCACAAAGTAGAGAATGGAAGGGATTGACAGAACACCGAGCATGAGTCTCCAGCTCGGGGATTCTTGAAGCGACATCCCAAAAACAAGACAATACGATAAAAACATCCCACCGGATCCACAGAACTGAGGGAAAGTGTTGAGTAATCCTCTGATTTCAGAAGGTGCGGTCTCAGAGATGTAGATCGGGACGAGAGTGACAGCGAGACCAATCCCAAACCCATCAAGCAGCCTTGCTAGAAGGAGCACATAGACATTGGGAGACCAAAACATGATGATGCTACTGACGAAATAGAGAAGAGAAGAGAGTATGAGCATGGAACGCCTTCCTACTCTGTCAGAAACAGGACCAGAGAAAGTAGTGATCAAAGTGGCTCCGATCAAAGACATTGCTACGATCAACCCTTCTATCTTTGGTTCTTTCTCCAAATGAAACTCTTTCTTTATGTAAATCACAGCTCCTGCCACCAAAATAGAATCATCATTACAACCATTGTTTTCGTATATAAGCGTTCCCATGTAAACGAATACAAAGATGAAGAAAGAACCTGCAATGGTGGCATTGTCCCAACCCTGCAACATATTCCCTATTGCAGCAGCCAAAGCAACAAGCACTACGCTCCTCATCCTTATATCGATTTTACTTCCTTCGGTCAATAACGCAATTCACAAAACATGATCATATGTTTCTTCCTTTTGAACACAATAATACTTTTAACTTTCAAGAATCATTTCTTTTTCACAAACCAAGAAAAAAGAGACGAAAGTAACAAGAGTTGTTAATCTGATGGTTATTACCCTTAATTTAAAATTAACAACAACAACAAAAAAAAACGGAAACAAGATCCTCGTCAAAGTGTGTTTGTTTCTTTACAAATT